TTCATCTATGGCCTTCCTCATTTAGGCAAACATTATTATGATTAATGATAATAATTAACATTTATTGAAGTATCACTAAATTTTGTGTCAATTATTATCAAGAGTCACCAAATTTTGTATCAAAAGATGACTTGACTAATAAACTGAAATTCATAATTCACAGCAAATGTTAACAAAGACATACCATTTAACATAAAACTATCTTAAGTTCCAAATATTAGTAGGCATTAATGCTTCATAAATACATAATAATATGTAAATAATTATCCAAAAGTGCTTCTGATAGAAATTTGAAGTTTTCATTGTTCACAGTTTACCACACTCATAAAACTAAATCAAGGATTTTCAAATTCATTTCCAGCCAGTGTAGTGGAATACTCAGTTAACATTACCTGTCACACAAAACAACCCACCTCTGTTCGCCTTTTTCATTCGTGTATGTACTTATGTACAAACCATTCAACTGACTGGAAAATGTCGATTTATAGGACATCAGCAGTACATACTGTCCACCAACTTCAAGATCTTTCTCCAGTTCGAACACAAAGTAATCGTTTTCTGAATATTCAAAGGTCTTCGAAGGGATTTCTTCTCCTAGGGAGGTAGTGTTGGATGTCACGTTTGAATCGCGTTTGTAAACTTTAGCGTGAGTCACGTTCATGTCATTGATATGAATCAAAATGTAGGACATGACATCGGATTTTTCCGTGACGTTTATTAAGACCGACACGTTTCCTTTAAAAGTGTTTAGCTCCAAGTAGGGATCTAAGTAGACACTGTAGTGAACTGGACGAATATTTTGCGGTAATCGGATGTTCTTCCACGGCTTCACAGGCTGTGAAGGTGTCACCGCTGTCGCGTTTGATATTGGCCCGGACGCGTTGGTAGATGCGTTCGTGGGTGCTGCTGTTGATGTAGAAACCTCAGTCCCTGCAGTTACTCCAGGTTCTTCTGTAGGTGCTGGCCTTTTACCTGGTGCTTTACCTCCCTTCGAGCTTTGATTTTCATCCAGAGCCTCAATTCTTGCCCGACGGGCGCTAAAAACACCCGAAATCACTGCGAAAAATATTATCAAGACAATCACAAATACAACCAACCCGATCGCTTTCGATCGCGTGATAACAAACTCTTGCTCCTTTTTCTCATCTTCGCCATCCTCTTCGAGTTTCAATTGAAATTCATCGTCTGACATCCTGCTTTTGGTCCTTTTTGTCTTGGAAGAGCAAATCGGCTCGAAAACGACCTCGACACAAGCCGCTCTACACCTGTTCTTGAGTTAGACAACACTCCCAGGAAGCAAGACTCTAGCTAGCAGTTGTAGCACTGGATATTCCGGCTTCTGGTTCCCTTCTAATCCGCTCCAGCAAATTAGACGGAAGACGAAATTCTCCAGGGAGTTGGGTTTCTCCTGTTTACGTATATCAAGAATCTAAACAATGTGCTGATCGAAGCTTTTTAACTAACGGCACGCATGACGATGAAATATTGTTTACTAGTAATAGCTAAAGGACTGGAACTGGTTTTGTTAGTTCGGTTTATCCAACGATGAAACTACTGAAACTAGTCTCTTTGGAAAATCTGACATCAAATGTTTGACACGGGATCGGATAGTATGGTCGAGGAGACTCGAACTTTTGCAGCTATCTCGTACGAAGAAAACGGTTGAACTAAGAAGCAAAAGTGAAAGGGATTTTAATGAGGAAAAAATTATTTCCTCGCTTCCGTTGATGTGTCTACGGTATGACGGCTGTTGACTCTCTTTGTTGCTTAGCGATCGATTAAGGTGGTGTTGGTTCCTCCGCTTTTTTCGTCATGAAACAACCAGAAAACCAGACAAGCGGCGAAAAAAATTGCACGAACGACGCAAAAAAGATTTTATTTTATTTTTTCTTTAATTAAAATCCCTTTGGTTTCTATTCAGAACTACTTCGAAACAAATCCTCTCATGTCTACTGTTGTGTAATTAAAATGTAGTATGTGTATTCTTGTCTAAATAAGTATTCGTATATGGAGTTTGGGAGACCCGAGATATGAATAGATCACCGATTGAGCAATCCCTTGCGTCGGTGGTTCATGACAGACGATTTGAACAAGGAACACATCGTCTTGCAGAGCTAACGCTTTATCCGATGGAATGCTGCTAGAGACAAGTCTGTCCTAAAACTCCCCGCATTGTCAGTCAACTGGCCAACTTTAGAACTGGGTTCTTCGTTTTCGAGGGCAAAAAGAACATCGAGAGCTGGCTATTCTGGTTCCGACTTCACTGAGAGGAAGAGTTCCCCTCGTCCGGAAAGTTGCTGCGTGACATGGTCTGACGACCCTTAAATTTCATCTCAATCAGAGTAAAAGTAATGATTTACGACTTTCAGATGTACAGTGCTCATCGATGTGCACACGTTTTCCCATTTTTCCGATTTGAAAAGTTCGGGCTCGATAACACAAGCTGGACACGTACTCCAGTTGTAGAAACACTCCAAAATTCGTTAAATTGCAGAAACAGTCGCCGATCAATCGAATTTTTTAAAATAAACTAATGGCGGCCTCCTTGAAATAAATTAATGCATGAATGAATTAACCTGCCAAGAAGCCGCGTTTTCGGCCAAACCCCATCCCCAATTGTGGCGATCGCTCATCTTTTTTTACGTCCAGTTCTTTAAGGTTTTGTACTTTAATAATCAATTTATAATGAGAGAAAATAAAAGACTGAGGATTGTAATTCCGATTGATTTTTCGTTCTTCTTTCAGTTGGTTTCGATGTATTACGGCCTGATTTTTCGGTTAAGAAAGGTGAGTGTGTGGTTTACTTAGACCATGTGAAGGGCATGTCACACACTTCTCGTCCAGTTTGTGGCGAGTCCTACAATGTTTCCTTAAAAGGCTGTAAATTCATCATGGAATTAATCCCTTAACTTAATAACAAGATAGAATGATAATCTCTCTCTTAATTTTTTATATATTATCTTGTTTTGAGACGAATAGCAGGACTTTTGATTCACGCTCTAAATCTCAAACCCTTATTTTCCAAAATGATTTCTATACATTTCTCTGGCGCATAGTGCAATAAAAGAATTTTATGATATTCCGTCTCCTGTCTGCTTGTATGTCTACTTAAAATTTCATGGATACTAATGGGATCTGAAGAGTTATAAATTATAAACTACCTGTCATGTGAAAACTAAACTCACCTCTGTTCGCCTTTTTCGTTCGTGTATGTACTTATGTACAGGCCATTTAACTGACTGGAAAATGTCGATTTATAATCCATAACCAAAACATACTGGCCACCAGCTTCAAGGTCTTTCTTCAGTTCAAACACAAAATAATCATTTTTCGGATATTCGAAAGTCTCCGAGGGAATTTCTTCTCCTAGGGCAGCGGCGTGGGGCTCCGCGTTCGGATCGCGTTTGTGAACTTTGGCGCTAGTCACGTTCATGTCATTGATATGTATCAGCATATAAGACATGTACTCAGATTCTTTCGTGACTTCAACCAACACTGAGACTTTTCCGTCAAAAGTGTTTTTTTCCAAAGACGGATTTAAGTACAGATCATAGTGAATTGGTCGAATGTTTTGCGGCAGTCGGATTTGATACCACGGCTCAGGTCCAGTTGGTTCCTCGGTGGGTTTCACCTCGGATGTAGGGCCTTGCCCGGTCGCTCTGACTGGCTTCTCAGTTGTCATCTCTGCCAGCGCGTCCTTTCTTGCTTTTCTTGCGCTGAATACGCCCGACATTACCCCGACAAAGATGATCAATAAGATTACAATAACTACTAAAACGATTGCTTTCGTTCGCGAGATAACAAAACCTTCTCCCGATGCTCTTTTCTCTTCTCCACTTTCTTTCATTGGAACACCTTCGTACGACATCTCGCAATCCTTCCGTGTAGGAATCAGGGTAGGTAAACTGCTGTTAGGGGAAGAAGGAGCGCGTCTATCTGATACCTGTGATACGAATACGATACTGTTTTATTTGTAAAACACTAAGTGAATAAACAACAGGTTGTCACCATGTCGCTCTCCAACCAATCCGCGCACGAATCCCTTGAAAGAGCGGGAAACATTGTCAAGCTTAAATGACAAAACTTCAGATCCATCCCAGATTAGACTAGATTAGCAACTTCTTGGATAATGCAAATATTTGAACGCCAAAATTAATTCTGATACCAAAATATAACAATTTTAGGGGAGTACAGGGAACAACATCCATCAGCGTGGTTGACTGATCGAAAAAATTCAACTTTCCAACTGAAAAATATCTTGGGTCTAACACAGACCATTATGCCACTCTGGACATTGTTTTTTTTCCATCATAGCGACATAACAAAGCCGTCTCAGAGGTCAATACTTCAAGGCTTTAGTTGATTGAGGAATTTTGAACGAACAGAAAAGAAACAATCTGGTTGTCATATTGTTCAGTATTAACAGCGGAAATATCGTTGCGCTGGGGATTGTAGATTTAGCTGAACATCAACGTCTAGATCACACAGCTGCAGAAGGAAATGCATGTAGGCTGGTAGTCTCCTTAGCAAAGTTATTTCGTTCTAGTCACGCACTAAACTTTATATACTACAAATGCAGCACTTTGCGACACAAATAATGTTTGCTTTCGCCTCTGGTGCTTATTCAGAGGTGGCCCGGGTGAATACAATAATAATGGTGCCCGCCCCTCCAAAGGTACATGTCTGGAGAGTGGCAATTGCAGAGACAGATTAATTTTCGTTTTAATAAAATCCCTCTTCCCTCTAAACTCCTTTGTAGACATTGCTTGGTCACTTCAAACCTAGAAGACAACGGCTGCGGAAGACCCACAATTCGTTTTCACACCCGCGTTCGAATTTTTCTGAGATACAAATTTTCGTGAAACAATACATATAGCCCGTGTGACTCCCAAGCAATACAATTATCTTTGAGCCAGAACAAACAACCCAAAATGGTTACTGATTAGCAACGGTCACCTCGGGTAAACAAATGTTTCTGACACACAACAGCCAACTTATTTACTGATATAGCAATGAGAAATTTATTATTATTTGACAACAGAGAAAAGCTTGCATTACACAACCCGTAAGAAAAACACACAATGCTGTAAGTGAAACAATCTCAAAGGCCAACAGATTACAGCAACTCTCTTCAAAGCAATCACTTACAGAAACGTAGCCATAATTACCATTTTTTACACTGCATAATATTATACGAAAATCCGTGGACTTTTCAATGTTATCAATTTGTGTTACATTACATACATACAGAATCTCATTGTTATGTAAGTCTCAATTATTTTATCACTAAGTACTGTACAAAATATCAATATCTGTTAATAGCTTTCTTTACCCAGCCCCACCCACCACTGTGACATTCCCATGGGTGAACTTAATCCAACTTGAAATTCTCCTTACCATGTAAATATAATACAAAGAAACCCAAGTGATGATTTGGGAAAAAAAAAAATCAAAATCTTCCAGATTTTGCAACTCATTAAATATTTTTATCACCTCACAAGCAACTACCTAATGACTATAGAAAATAACTTTCTGCTGATGCAATAAGTGAAAGAAATTAATGCAAATAAATGACTGAATAATCACTTGCCAACCTGAGAAAGGAAAACCAAGTTACTAAAAATGTACATGCTGCACAGGTTGACAAACAAGACTTAGCAAGGTGAATGTTAATTACTACATGCAATCACTTTCTGTGTGCTGAGAGTACACCAGCTTCACAATCAACTGCAATTGTTATTTTTTTTTTAATTTAATTTTTTTGTCTAAAAAATGTTTAGGATTAGAGGGATCGTAGAATAAAATATTGTAGCACAGCCTGACATGAAAGCCTCTGTGAGGGACTTGCTCCTTTCCAAAAGCTCCAAATTTAATAACTAGGTAGAACTGATTTTTTTTGGAAATTCTTGCTTCTAATTGGGAGATGGTGTACTGTGAGCTTCTAGTGGTTGTCTCATTCCCTGGCCATGACTCAGCAAGGTCTACATGCTACCAATGTTCATACTAACTAGTATTCACATTTAAAACCTCTGCTGTGAATGTGTTCACACATAGGAATGCACAATTAATTGACTAACAAATATCAACTTAAGCCTAATGCTACATACAAGCAGTAATGCAGAAGACGCGATAAAGAATATGCAATATGTAAGACTCAAGTTATAGTAACTAAAAAAACCATGTCTATACTAATATGTCCATTGAAAAAAGGAGTTAATACTATTTTTTAAGAGTTAAATGCTTGAGCTGCACAGAGAATGTCCAAAATTAATTCATTGTTTTGTTTTTACACAGCTTACCCACCATTAAGACAGCCTCTACTGCCAATTTTTAGTTTTAAATTCTAGCCATCTATGCAGAAAAAATTCCATAGGAATACTGCAGTTCAAAATTCCTGAAACTAGCTTTTAAGTTCCCTATGCCTTGTCTGCTGACAGATAAAGTCGTTGCAGGAACCTGGCATGTCATATAAGGAGTTATGCAGTGATAATTTTTCTTGTAATAATTTGGAAAAACAAAGAAAGCATTTTTGGAAGAATAACATGATTATATATCATAACTACAAAGAAGAGAGGGAATGCTTAAACCTCCTATAGATACCTGTTACACAAGAAACTGCAACATGGTAGAAGGGTTGAAGAAATTCAAAGCATGCTATGAGATTGTATTTCTCCTGTTTGGTACACAGACACAAAATAAACTGGACTTGGTGATATTTAACAAAAGATTTCTACAATAGTTACATAGAGCAATAATCTTGTAATCAATATTTGTATTACCTTCATTATGTCTCCCACATAAAATCTAAACTTAAGTGTAATAGTTAATACCAAGATTCAACCTGTTACATGACATGGCTCTTAAAACTGCTGAGAAAGAATTAAGTATTTTGAAAGGAATTGCTACAGAAAATGAGATATCACAGTTATAGAAATCACTTGACACTGCTTTTGGACTCCACAAACGTGTCACAAGATACATCTCATGCAAGTTACACATTTAAGTTACATTTACTCACATCTAAGGACTGTCTTTTGAGCAATAAAATCAGTTACATTACTAATTAACAAGGCAGCTGATCAAATCCTTTCACTTGAGCATTCTTACTTGAGTTTGCATTAACTTAAATTTTCTGAATCTTTGAGCCAACAACAACAGGATTGTCTTTTGATATCTTGGCCCTGCCATCGGCTTTGTAATCAAAGCTGCAGTCATGTTTATCAGAATATCTGTGAAGGCCACAATAGACATTCCCACATCTGCATTCAAATCCTAACAAAGGAGAAGAAAATTAGTAACAGCAACATCTTAAATAATTTAGCACAAAGAAAAAAATGTAAATGTTTTACAACAACTTATTGAAAGCAAAGGTACTGGGATCAATTTTCTTGAACAACAGACATTTTTTTTAACAATTGTTACATCCAAGAGCTCATGCCAAATACTGAATGAGTTTCTGTAATCAGTAATTTAAGCACTAGGATATACCTCTCCTTAGTTTGTTTAACAGAGTTTTAGCAAGCTGTTTTGAGCTTTTGTTTGCGCAAATTTGTCACCCCTTTGTTTGGAATTTTAAGAAGTTTAGGAGTTTTTATTTTAACTAAATGCTGTGGTTCACTAAACAAGTTTAACCCACTTTTTTATGGGGTTTGAACTCTAGCCTCTTTTCCACATATGAATTTTTTACAATTGCTATGAAAAATTAAGGAAAGTTGAAAGAAATTAATCAATAACTTTTTTTTGAGGAATCACCTAAACTGTTTTCTGTTTCCTTCAGCAGAATCCATTAAAAAAACAACATTCATGATATCTTACCGGTTAATCCTACTTTTTTACGACACATAAAACATCTATTTCTTTTGGTTTTAGCTTTGTCCTTGTTATCAGACGTAGATGCCTCAGCTTGAGCTTCTGGTTGTCTTAAACTATCATTTTCTTCTCCAACACTACTAGTGGAAGATGAAGGACTCACTTCCCTTGATGCACTATCTTCAGTTGGGGGAAGGTGAGAGGTACAAGGCTCCTCAGGCAATCCTGAAAGTTAAGAAATGGCTGTTGTTTCACTTTGTTTCTCAGCAAAAGTTGTAGATTATTACTGAAGGAAATGGCATGACAAAATACTGTGAGCTGAAATTCAGTTCTGCGACTCAATTTAGTTTCACTTCTCACATCAAGAGTCTGTTAGGAAGATTAATATTTCCCCTTTTCCTGTAATTAATATAGAGAAATGATCAAAATCATAGTTGTCTTCCTTAAATTAAGTAGTTGTATCCCACTTTTATTTTTTCCTCTCCAGGCTAACACGTGTCACATGATACTTAATGTTTCTTTCATGGAATGTAAGCATGGCACAAACATGATATCTTTACACTGTTTTTTCCCCAAAAACTATTTCACTTTCATTAATCTGCATGCAGAATGTACTGAGTCATACTTCTAGTAGTTACACAGGCAAACCGGAATTGTTTCTGGATATATACCAAATTCAAAATGAGCGCACTTTGTTATCTTACAGTGACACATGTACAAGTATCTAAGGTCCACTGTAATAGGATAAATGTGTATTCCCTACTAACAAATCCAAGTCAATGTTTCACTGTTTTGTTACAATGATTGTCACAAAAATGCAAGTCATTGTCAATATCACATCTTTGATTTCATTTTAAATACATTATCTCCTTGTGATTACTCTAAGAATGCTAACTCATTCAATCCAACAAACAAACCACATAAGTGACACTGTCTATGTGACACCAATTTAGTCATGTTAGTCGACTGACCTTTAATAAATACTAAAGGCAATTTCTTTTGCATAAAAAGGCCTAAAAAGGATGCCAAGGATGTCACTGTAATCAGCCTGATGCATTGATTTACAATGGAAAGGAACAAGGAGCCTTTTCCAAATTTCTCAATCAATGAATATTCAGCAAGAACTGACAGACTTGCAAATTTGTAAATTTCAGAAAAGAAAAAAAGTTGATGGGGGAATCTTTAAGATGCACATTGTGCAAAGAACTACATGTACTTCAAATAACCTTAGGTCTGACAATAACAATTCCACAAACTCCAATTACTTACTTCAAATTGGCAATACTTTACCTCTGAAAAGTAAGAATTTGTGTTGTCTTGTTGTTTAATTGCCCCTCTGAACTTATTTCTAGTGACCTGGCTACATTATACTACATTTGTACTGTCTGTTCCAGCATTGCCAACAGACAGAAAAGATGCCATTCAGACTACAAATCAGCATTACAACTAACCTGCTGAGGAATTTGATACAACAGCTGCTGCACTGGTTGTTGGTGAAGATTGCTTTCGCCTTAAAGCATCTTTAAAACATTTTGAACACATACCATCAGTTGAGGAACAGCCATAAAATCCGCAGCCCATGCGGCACAAAGAAGGTTGTTGTGTATCATCTGAACCTCTTTCCATTACACTGTTAAGAAGAAAAAAAATTATGAAGGTTTACCATGCAGCTAAGGTGTACCACCATGTAGCATGAAAACATTGCAGGTTTTAATTTTGATAAAATTTGTGGATAGTCCTCCATACCCAAAATACATTCCAGCAGAAAAATTTCTAGCACATCAAAGAGCCATAAAAATTAACTACCTGGAGCCAAAAAAGTGTATGCTAATTAAGTGTTAAGTCCTATTCTTTATGTCTGGACTCAGTAAAAACATTCGGCTACAAATCATTTACTGTACTATGTATTTTCCCTCTACATCCAGAAAGGAAGGAGATCAAGGAAAAACTTCTTGTTGACAGAAAAATGAAAAAAATAAGCTCCAAGTGAAAATAACAGCAATATGCGAACATGCCAATGTACAGGAAGACCTAAAATGATTGAGTTTGCACAACTGTCCCTTGGTCACTGAATGTCACCTGACATGCATCTAGCTTAAACTTTGAGAGCAATTTGATACATGACTCAAAAGGACACAAACTCTAAATATAGAATACAAACGAACAAAGAAACCTGTAAAACTCTACCATGGTCTAACAATTTGTACTAAAAGTACTAGTTTGGAGAAAGACAAAACACAGAGCTTTCTTATTAAAGGACTTTCTCTGTATTAAAGGTTTGATTTATAAAATTCTGGCCATAGACAAATTTCTACTTATCAATTTCAGTGATAATTACATGTTTGGACCCACAAATAGAAAATGAACCCAATTTTTTGCTAGCTCAGTAAAATGCATCTTTAATTACTTACAGAGAGCAATATCTAGAATGATATCCATTTGTTTTAAATTGTGTCTCTTCAATAATATAACAACTGGAATTATACTAGTAATAGAACGGAACACCACACTGATTTTGACCCTTGAAATTTTGAGTAAACATTGCCACAGCACTGAAGAAATGACCACAAACTGTATACAGAGACAGCAAGAAAAGACCCTTTCAAGGGAAAGGATACATTTACACAGATCTATAACATTACATAATATATGCAGTAGATGGATAGAGAAAATAACATCTACAACTTGGCTCCTTTGATTTCCGAGTACGTTTTTATGTGAGTAAAAAAAATTTATCGAGTATGAGTTGAAAATGAAAGTGGAGACAAGGAAACTGCTCACATCATCTTCATCAAGTACACAACTTATGAAATATCTAAATAATAGTGTAGCTGTATGTGAATATTTTTCATAACGAAAGATGTTCATAACAGCAAGGCCATGAATGTTAATTTCAGCTTCGTGATTATTCCAGAAAAGATCTGAAATGATCTGAACGTTGTTGTATAAATGGTACTTTCACACGTTTTCGATTCTATAATCTGAAACACAAAATTGAGGCAGTTCACAGCAATATAACTCCAATAACCTCACGCTTGAATATAAACACGTATGAGGGGTTATTCGAAAGACAGGAACCTATCGACGGCAAGTAAAAGATGGAACGCTATCGATATATAGGCTTCATAGGGACGATGTTTTCTCTCCCTGGAGACTCCAGAAACTGTATAACGAACCATTTCTTTCGACTTACGAGAAATTAATACAACGAATGGCAAACAGTCTCACTAAACGCTTGAAATTTCTTTTCACTGTCAAAGCTCATGTTCCATTTGAAATATCACGAAATCGGAACGCATGTTTACGGAGAAAAGTTCTCTGCGGAAATGATAACACCTTCATTTGACTCCTCGGTAAAGAAAAAGTTCTAGAATCGTCTTCTATCAGAATAATTAACGAATAATTTCGTTCAATAGAAAGATCCTAAAGTAAAAAACAGAGAGAATACAAACGAAGGCTAACTTCAGATGGCCGCCATGTTTGCTCAACATAAATAATTTCTCGGGTTCTCTTATGGGTCGTATATGACGCGACGCCACAAAATTAGACTTTCTCGTTTTCAAATACCTACAGTTCTCATGAAATACTCCTACATACCTTTTTCAGCGATCCTGGAGCAAAAATAGTCAATCTTGCCGAAGAAACTTAACAAATACCAAGCACATTACGAAAGAGATAGAGAACAACCGAATATGAAAGCTGTGCAAAAAGCGTACGGCGTGAAATTTCCGGCAACGTTTTGCTTCTGACATTATAATTCAAGCATCATGGGGAAACTTAAAATAAAACGAAACTGAAAGCGAACTGTAAGGACCTTTGCCATGCATTTCTATTGTGCTGGTTTTTTCCTTTCATAATCGGTCCGTGAGACCTGTTTAATCCAGTCTGCTAAACCCCAACGCCAACCATGACTCAGCCGGCCAAGAACCCCGCCAGTCTACGAGAAGAAGCTTCTTTTTCGCTTCCCTTTAAAGTTTATTCAGTTTGAAACGAAGAGCGATACATTTCCCTACGTTTACAGTTTTCAGTCAAAACACAGGCCTGTAAAAGCAAGGCTAAAACAAAGATCTTGAAGAATGTGCTGTTCGGCTACAAGCCTTGGTCACGCGTGCTATGCATGGGGAGGGCCGACATAAGCGCCATTTGTACTTTGTATCACCTAATTCAACAACATTTAAAAGATATAAAACTGCTCAAAATGAATTTCCTAGACATTCCAGAAAGCCTGTTCTTTCAAGATTGAGGTTGCTATCATAGACTGCTGACAACAAAAGCTAAACAAATATGGCTCGCTCTTCTGCCAGCGCCCAGTGCGAATTTTGAACTTTAAGCGAGAGAAATCAGTACTTATCATCATCTCACTATCAACTACCACAAGGAATCCATTTACTTACCGAAATTTCGGCGCTAAACGCGTTGAAATATCCCCTAAAATCGTATACGTTCGACTTCGTACAATTCTCTCTCCCGGAAAATGAAGCGATTCCCTTTTGTTATGTGACGTCACAGTAATTCAGCTCAAGTGCCAATCACTCCCAATTAGCCGCATGTGATTGGCTACTTTAACAAAAAACCTCATTTAACCATGGGCGACTGAAAATAACTCGCAAACAGCGGGCTAAAGAAACGAAATATGACCGCAGCACTCTGGATCACATGTATTCACTAAATCTAGAGAGTTCAATCATTACCTTGTCAATATATTTTATATGATCTGTTCATTTTTTTGCGTGAGAAAGTGACTTAGATTATTTTAAGAAATCGGGGACTTTTGATAATGTGTTTTTCATGAAATCAGTTCTTTCGATTGCAAATCAGAACACGTCACGAGTGCCTTCCGGAAGTCACGAACATCGCCTAGTCAACCTCGCTAACTTTCACGAACTATACGATCAGGCTGTGACGTCATAATATTGCGTCATTCCTCGAATAGGCGGTACTTATGTTCGACGGTTTCTACATACTCATTACACTTGGATAACATTAACATTGATAAATTTTCCGTCTAAACATGATCGGAAATGATTCCATTACTTCCTGAACTGTTTTGAAAAGTTGGCGAAGGAATCATTCAATATGAAATTGCCAAAAAAAAAAAAAGAAGAAAATCTGCCTCCAAAACCTGAGTAACATTTCTTTTTTTGGAATATTGCCGACCAACTTTTGTGCAACGATTGCTGATTCGAAACCCACTGTTGACATGTCATTTATAGTATGTTTTAACTCTAGCGTTTCATCTCTTTTTTCTCTAATTTTAACGTTCGAGAAATCTTCCGGAACTTTTAATCGAGCTCATAATGCCAAAAAAGGAAATGAATTATTAATAAACGCTAATCCCCCTAAACTATGGACGGAAAATTTCTCAGATACAGAAATCTGGTCATATAAGCGTATGAATCGGTTAAACAATCACGATTGCGATCGTTTATAGTATTATAAACTGTTCATCTTGAGTTTGTAATAATGTTTCATCAATATTGTTGGCCGCAGTGTGGTAAACGTTTTTTAATCAGAGCAGTGTAAGATCCATAGCCGGCTTCCAGTAAATTTGGCCCTTAGGGGTTCTTAAAGGATCATCATTTCCTTTGAGGCCTTCGCTTTGATATCTCGCTTTTCTTTCAAAGGAGGAAGCGGGGGGAGGGAGGAGGGGGGGGGGGAGAGATAAAGCAAGGAGAGTCGTTTTATTGATTTATCGATTACCTTTATTAATGTGCCTGGGGTGCCTTTAGTCTTATTGGCCAGTAACAGGCTGCCTTTTAAGCCAAATTTTCTTTACTACTCTAGCTACAGTTTTAAAGTAATCCTCACCTTAAAAAACCCCAGCACAGCCACTCAAAAAACCTGTGGGGAGGGGGAGGGGGGGCTCACTTGCCACGGGCCTGAATGGAAATGCTCGTCGGTATTTTGCAATTTACTTATAATATCTCACCCCTAAAAGAGACCTCTTCGAAGAAAACCGATTTACAAGCCAGACAGATGTCCTCCTGAATATCGGCTACGTTAGCCCTCGTAACTGACTGTTTTCTCTGGCACTGAATGAAAATTAAGCTGGAGGAGCCGCAGAAACGGGAAGCGGTTATCAGCCGTTTCTTACCCACGAGCTTTTCGTATTCAGTCAATCCCAACCCAGCGAAGACCATTCGTACCCAGCCAATTTAGTGGTTTGTAACCATACTGATAAAGCATCTTTTCCATGTTAAGTATGTTTAAAGGTCGGTTTCTTGTTACTGTTGATGACAGAGAATAAAAAATATCACAATTGCTTTGCGCGAGACACTAATAAGTTATCATTGTTAATTAAGAAAGTCAGTTTAAACGGTGAACTGTTTTCTTCAACGTATCACACTTACCTTGCGCTTGGCCGGCTATCACTTAGTTATTGTTATAAGGTCACTATGGGGAGCCATTTGTGCCAAAAATATCAATCGCTGGTGATAAAACTCAATCGTTAGTGCTAAAAATTTCAATCGTTAGTGACAAGAATCTATCATTGGTGCTAAAATATCAATCGCTAGTGATAAAACTCGATCGATAGTGCTAAAATTTCAATTGCTAGTGACAAGAATCAATCGTTAGTGCTAAAATATCAATCGATAGTGATAAAACATAAAAATATAAATCGCTAGTGATAAAACTCAATCGTTAGTGCTAGTATCGATTTCTTATCGATTTTAACTTGAACCAGTCTCCCGCTTGTTGAGCAAAGATTCAACCATATTGATATTTTTGCACTAACAATTGAGTTTTACCACTAACGATTGATATTTTTGGCACAAATGGCTCCCCATATGTCACAAGTACACACAACAGAGCTTTAATTGCATACATTACTTGTTGTACGCAATAATCAACATCTGTGTACCGAGGTTTTCCGATCGTCACTGAATGTTTGGACGGGTAAGAATCGACCAGCGGGTTGGGGGCGAACTGATACAAACGTGGTACAAAAAGTCCAAATTTTGGTACGGATCGACTGAATGTCCGTGGGTACGAAATGACTGGATAGCTGGCCAGCGGGGCTACGATTGGGAAACTCTCCATGTTCTACCCCAGGTCTCTCACAGCTTCGCCGCTCAACGCATCAAGGCGCACACAAAACCGCGAGGTGCGCAAAAAAAGTTAGGACTGGGTCCGTTCGAAAGGGAAACAGTTGTTTCACAAAAAAAGTTTCGTTTATTCACCAAATATAACAATTATACTACAACTCCTTGGGTCTATCTGACGACTTTCAGTCTACTCTGTACAGAGCATCTATGGCGAGTCTCCTCGTCAAAACAGCTCATCAAGCTGTGAGTCTGGTCGCCGATGAGAAGGTTTCTCAAACTCAAAGTCCGCATTCCACTTGTTACTGGGCGAGGATTTTAAACTCTGAAGGTGGGAAAAAGGTAGCAAAACGTCTCTGAATGATTGTGTAGTAAAAACTATAGATGCGGGCCACCATACTCGTTCATGATAGACTTAGGAGAGCGGCACAATCTTGCTCAAGAACATAAAAAGACGATCTCGATCAGAGATCAAACCAGGACATTTCGATCAGGACGCCGGCGCGTCAACCATTGAATGAACGCAATTCTCATGTAAAAATAATTCATTCCATGTAATTATTATCGAATAAGAGTCTCTTGTCATCGAAATATCAAAGATATACGAAGACATTATACCTTCCCCTCTTCCCTCTTGCCCTCCTTTCCCCCCCCCCCAACTAATTCTTAGAAAAAAATGGTCCTATACATACCCTGGAGATTAAAGGCATGGTTTTCATTAGTAAAACTTACCGACTTCCGCTTAGTCTTTAAATCGTTTCCGGAATCCGATGTTGCCCATAAGTTAGCGACTAAAAATATAAATAACAATGAATACACGAACAATTAAATGAATGAACAAACGTACACACGAGTGAATGAAAGTACGTTCCCAGAAAAAAGGCTAGAAGGTAACAAAGAGTTAAATTTGGATGAGCAACAAAAAAAAGTGCAGTTTCTACATTCAAGAAACATCCATTTTGTTACTTAAACATTTGACAAGGAAATAGGTGGTAGCAGAATATATAACATTGTTTAGCCAAGTCTCACAAAGTGTCATTGCAAACCTGAATCGGTGGAGACTCTGCGTTTCTGTTTGGATTTAGATCCCGACAGGGACGATACAACTACTTCGTCTTCGTCGTCGTCGTCATCATCATCATCACTATCATTGAACTGAGCTAGAGTTTTCCGGGGGGACTTTTTGCTTTTGGAATCTTTTGACGAAGCAGTGGAAGAGAAAAAGCTGTCCAGGCTGCTAACTATCGATCCACGTTCACGCTTTTGTGGCGCTGGAGCTGAAAAGAATATTATAAACTTAAGGTTAAAAAAATAAGGAAACAAGAATACAAGGCAAAGATTTACGGTGGTTTCCCTCTACGGGCAAATTGATCGCGTATCTCCAAGAAATGACAAACACAAAACGTCTTCTTACTTTCTTCAGCTAACAGGTGCTGAAAATAGACAAACTTATCAGATTCTCGGACCTAATATCCAACGAAATGTTCAGCAGCTAATAAGGGAGAATGACCCACTTGATTCGAAGTTTGCATCTCACAGGTCACAGAAAATCTCGAAGCAAACGGACCACGTTTAGTTACAGTTCTTCTTCAGTATCACGACTGATTTAGATGAGGATAATCAAAACAAGGAATATTCCAAATGGCAAGAAAATACATAATTCAAGTGCGTACGCACTGAAGATTTCAATTCGATACAGTTGATATCGGAGAAATGACGGTTAGGAAATCTTAGTATTTACAGACAGCTGTATATAACTATGTGAGTGAAAAAATATGCGAAATTTCTAAATATTTAAATTTAGGTTTTCTCCGCTAAGAAATCACTTTGCTCACCAAAATTTTGTAAGAGACAAATAGAGAGCGGTTTATTTAGGTACTGCTATAAAATTTCTGCTTAGTTCACTATGAGTGTTTCTAAGGGCGTTATAAGAAACCGTTGAAATTACATGGAGACTTACAATCACCCAGCGGTGAACTACTGTAAGAAAGGGACTGAGTGACGATACAAAAGGAAAACAAAAACTCAAACACACAAGTAAATATAGAGTATCAAAAGCTTAGTTCTCAACAAAAGAACTCCCGTATAGATTTACTTACGCGTGCTTGCGGATGATTTCTGTGTAAGACTGGAACGAGCTGGCTTCTTATCATTCTTAGTCTTTCTACCTGTCACGACTACGTCATCGTCATCACTTTCTTCCTCTGAGCCCATGGGCAAACTGGATTTCCTTACGCTTGAAGAATGGAAATTCCTCGCTTCTCCACTATCACCGCCTCCACTGCGATCTAAACTTGGCCTTTTGCCACTTAGTGGCCTCTTAGATAGTGACAGACCTGGTCTCTGAGGGACTTCGTCCTTATGAGAGTCGAAGACTTCCCTTGAGCTGGACGCGGCAGAGCTTATCGCTTGGCTTGACCGCTGAGAAGAAGGTCGTTGTTGAATGAATCCTTTGTTTTGCGATCTACTTGATCGAGAGACAACTGCGTCGTCATCACTTTCTTCCTCTGAGCCCAGTGCCAAACTGGATTTTCCTATGCTTGAATATCGGGATGTCCTCTCTTCTCCACTGTCACCGCCCTCACTGTGATTTAAACTTGGCCTTTTGCCACTTAGTGGCCTCTTCGATAGTGACAGACCTGGTCTCTGAAGGGCTTCGTCTCTACTGGAACCTAAAACTTCCCTTTGGCTGGACGCGGAAGAGCTTAGCGGCTGGCTTGACTGTCTGAGAGAAGGTCGCTGTGGACTAAATCCTGTGTCTAGCGATCTCCTTGGCAAGGAGACAATCGCATCGTCCTCATCGTCTTCATCATCGCTGTCGACGATCTCAAAGGTTTTTTTCATCGGTTTCTGTCTGATATCTTCCAGTGTAGAATCATTGACGCGTCCGCCTGATCTCTTTTGAATTGACCTCGTTCTCGACGGACTAGTTACTACAGCATCATCCTCCTCACTGTTTTCTGAGATGTTTGCAAATCGTGGAGCTGTGATCAAACTCCGCCTTGGGCCTTCAAGAGAAACAGAAAGGTAAAGTAACTGAGCTGTTGCAATGAACAAACAATCCTTAGTTGATAATGTACGTGGCTTAGTTGATAATGTATGTGACGTGTAAAATTCCGCGCAAGTGTAGCGGTGAGATATTCGCTGTTGAAACTTTGTAGCAATAAATATATTGTTATCTATCTCGCCTTCCTTGCCCTGTAAAAAAATAAAATTTACATGCCTTTTCTGCTTCATTTGATATGTAAAGAGACTTTTAAGCAACAAAAAAACAAAACAATACACATAGAGCGACAAGTGTGCTAGTGCAAGCTTTTTCAAATTTCCCTCAATTTCATCCTTTCCACGGCGTTGAGGGTAGCGCATCTCCAAACATCAATACTAAAACAAACAAACAAAAATAACCGGACAAGAAATTTTCGATGTTTCTCACAATATCACAAATTACACATTTATACAACGATGAACAATCGCTAATTAGCGAAGATGATTAGACGACGCAAAATTAAGTGGTGAGACGGGTGATTATTCGTATATTAATCGTGTTTGATTATGAAAGGAAGGAAGAAATTTGATGCGGTTGAAGTGTGGTGAAAGCATTTCTAGATTAACAACAAAGGTTGCAGTTAGCGTCATTGCTGGTGTTCCTGAGGTGGAAAGAACAACTGTCAGTCTTGATGATTGATTGCCATCAGGGTGGTTATTTTACAACGTTAGCACTGAGTAGTGAGGAGAAGCAGCAAGTATGTTCAGTCATCTGTCCGCCGGAAGTAAACATACCCTCCTCGTCTATGAGACTTTTTTCCTCTTTGGCTTCCTTCTTCGCCGACTCCTTCTTGGCTTTTTTCGTTTCGCGTGGTTTCTTTGATTCTTTTTTGTTTCTTTCCTCAGAAGTTTCAGAGTTCAACTGATTAGAACTCATTTCCTCGCTATGAATTTCCTTTTTATTTTTTACTGATCGCCCGATTACGACAGCATCATCATCAGAATCAGATTCAGTCGGATCACGTGCAAGTTCTGACGTAACATGTGCTTGATCACCTGAAAGCCCTGATGGTGCAAGTGCATTATCACGTGCAGGTGAAAATACTTTTAAAGGTGCAAGTTTTACTGGTTTATCAACAGAAAGTGGAGCTGATTCGAAGATCGATCAAAAGTTAATGAGGAAAGCGCCAAACTGCCTACATCATTTACAATAATAATAGTAGTAGTAGTAGTAGTAGTACTACTACTACTACTTCTACTACTACTACTTCTAATAATAATAATAATAATAATAAAAATAATAGTAATAATAACAATAATTACAATAATAATAATGATAGTTAACAACTATCACCATTTCTCTCGATAGACCGAAATATGTTCGGAAATTAAACCCTTAACGCGCGATTTTGTCTCAAAATCCTACTAACGGGACATGTTGAATGTGGCGAGAGTCGCTATGTACAATAACGTGATTTAAAAACTTAAGATGTATTTGCCTGAACCAAAAGCATCTATTTAAATGTATTCCTGTAAAAGCCTCATTTCAGCGAAAAAGGCTACACTTAGAAACTACATTTTGAACCATTAAAAGTTACTAGCTTTTACGTCTGACTACCATTTGTTACTAAGGCTATTGTCACGACGAGCACAAGCTAACCTGTTAAACTTGATCTCCTCAGACCTGTTGTAGCCGGTTCTGGGTGTCGTTTGGGGCTGGAAGATCTAGTCACCAGACCTTCATCAGAGTCGGGCTCGGAGTCGCCCAGGTGATGACTGGAACTGAGAACAAGGAACATTCTTACCGTTAATCACTACTTTATAATTTAGATGTACCTTCATCGGCGCCAACATGTTTTTGTAAAACTTACCACAGCCTCACTAATTAATTTCCTTGAGGAACCTAAACGAACTTGAGTTTATCTATGAATAGTGTATACTAAAATAGCGTTGACGGCGCGCTCTGAGTGGCTACTCCAACCCCCAATATCCTTTGCTATTCACTTCCGTTATACTATCTCACTATTCTGTTATATAATTAAAAATATATACCCCACGAACCACCTCAACTTCGCTGAATAGTTGTTAATTATAGAGTGCAATGCCCAAAACTACCCTCTAAGTGAATAAAGGGGGTAAGTTTCTAAAGAAACTGTGGTGCTGCGTCGCTAGGAGAGTATAACAGGGTAATTAAGTATTATCAACAGAGTTGATAACGTAAATTGGCTACCTAAAGACTTTAAAAGCTGACGTTTCGAGCGTTAGCCCAGTCAGCTTTTAAACTCTTTACGGTGGCCATTTTACTTTATCAACTCAGTTGATAATACAAAATTACCCTGTTATATAGTGACTTACCTTCCTCTCGTTCTCGTATCACGTGATGTGATTTCGTCCTCTTCAATGTATCCAAGGTGTTTTTTTCTTGCTAAGTGCGCTCTCATTGCTGACTGAAGGGCCACGACAGCGTCATCTCGGTCTGTAAATTCCAGTTCTTTATCAAGCTGTGCAATGTACTTATTACGTGCCGCTTGTCCGCGCAAGGCAGCTTGAATCTGTGTTATTGCCTGGAGAATAAGAAATGTCAAAGAATTTTCCTAGTAAAATTGTACAGGAACAGTGGAAAGTTTGCGAAATGTGTGAAGGGGGTCCCCTTTTCGCCTCCACCTCGGCAGCTTTCTGCACATGTAAAAGTGCAATTGGGCGAATGAGTAAGCAAGAAAAACCATTACCTCTTGTTTTGATTCTTCATCCATTTGTTTGGTCTGCAAGTGAATGAAAGCGTCAGTACTGAAGTAAAATATGATCTTGATTTTTGTTCAAAACAATCCTTTACTTTACCGCAACAACTCCTGTGGGATCAAACATTGTATTGGCGCATCATACCAAAGACAACATTGAAGTAGTTATTTCCCTTTTCCAAAGAGAACGTTCAGTCTGAGCTGCCTTCAAATCAATTATTTGGCAATACAGTCTAATGCATTTTTAAGCTTCTGTTTAGGTTTGGTGTGACAAGCCAGAGAACCTTCAAGTAACAAACAAGTAGGGCTTCTTTGCAGTAAATTTTTATTTCGAAGAGTCAAGTGTCGACGGTAATTCATTATTGAGTGAAACTTCCTTCACCGCGCCATGGAATTGGGCGAGAAAACTCACGCCGCCCTCGCAAGAAAGCAAATGCACGACCAAAATGGTCACTCCCGTTTTCCTGCGCTTCGCGCAGTTTGCTCGTTTTCACTTTGCTTGTTACTTGGCTCCTAGCAAAGTTTCCTTCGTTCTGGTTGGCCATACGAAATGCGCTTATCAATCCTATGTCACAGGACGTAATCCTCCTATTTTAATGTGCTTCACGTACCTTATCTCTGTGTTTCCGCCAATTTTTCTGTAGGGTTGTAGCAGCTTGATTTTGTCTCTCTACTGCCTGTCTATCCTGTTTTTCTATTTCCATTTTCCTTCCCTGATATCCTCTCCATTGTCTCTGAAGAGCCTTAGCGGCTCGTTGCTGCTGGAATTCTTTCAACATGCTATCCATCTCTTCATCGTTACCATCCTGAGGCGGCACCTCTCTAAAGGATGACTTCCTCCTTGGACTGCACACAGATAAAAATTTAAAAATAATATTAATGTTTTCACAGTCCTAAATTTTTTTCGCGAGATGAATGGCGGTATTTAAAAGGACCGGAGTATTAAAATCGATACAAATGGGAAATCTTAATACAAACAAAGAAAACATTTCAGGTAACCAGTAGCAACAAGGAAACAAATTCTGTACCTTGCTGAACTAGTGGATGATCTTCTATCCCCAACAACACCCTTCTCTTCTCTCAGTCTGTCAAGATCTGCTTGAGTGGACTTCAACTGCACTCTGGTTAATTAAGAAGAGAACGGTCAATAACTTATGTTCAAAAACAGAAAAGACACACGATAATTCTTGAATTCCCTAAGCTGTTCTAACATAACATTCTAATTCACCTGAGATCATCGGCGACTTCCCTGTAATGAGCACGATCTTCTTTCAGCCGTTGAATGATCTCCCGTTGCTTTTCTCTCTCTTCTAAGAGTTCAACTTCTCTTTCTTGCAGTTGAGCTAGTTTCTGGGATGTGGTTCCCTTCAGCTCCAATCTTCCTGGCACTGAATTGAGAAAAAAAAAAGCAGTCGCCCTTACAAATCATTCAATTACTTGTGCGAGTTCACTGCATCATCTTTGGATGAATTGTTTTCTTCGTTTTCACTCGCCAAAAGCCCACCACATAACCTTCAAATGACTGCAAGCAAACAATGGTCTTCTCAAACGTCTAACTAATACCGTCTAACCATGTATTGCTATATGAGTCAGATAAATTATGCCGGCATATTTTTGGGCAAAATGCTCTAATCAGAACATCAAGCATAATGCCGGCATAATGAGTAAACTTCTTAAAACATTTCACTTGATGTTACAGTTCAACAAGGAATAAATTCTGTAGCCTGAGTAATTTCAACAGTGAGCGTGCTTTCCTTGCTTGCACTCTACGAATTTGACCGGGTAAAATGTTGTGTTCTAAACTTCGGTGAGCCTTTTATTATCAGCAAGTTTTATCTGTTGATGGTAGGATGTGGGGAGAGGCTCAAGGGCTCCCTAAAGCTGTTCTTTTGAATTATTAAATTAAGCATAATGAACTCGTTTATCGCAAAATGTCCGACAAATCACAGACAAATCACGGCGTAGTTTGTCTGTGTCTTGCCACTGGCATATCACAATATCACACTCAGCGTCGTCCAATAATTGTTCATCTTTCTATACATCCTTTGTTGTGTTATCAATTTATTCCTTTGTGCTTTCCATTGTTTTTTTTTCTTTTACTTACCTTCAGCAGTGACCTTAGATGTGCTTTTTCTTCTCACTTCTTCATCCTCTTTACCTTCTACTAAGGGTCCTTTCCTAGTTTGTGTTTTCTTTCCGTCGGCGTCTTGAACTTTCTGCAAATGTTATACAACAATATGACTTTAAATGATAGACTCTTTGAAAGGGAAACTATTACCAACTAGTTAAACATTAATAAAACCCTGAGGTGGTTGCTCAGTTCGTATGTCTGACCCGTCTAAAATGGGTGTATGTCGAATGTGGATTGTGTATTAAACCCATCAATCTGTCTTCTGTTTTCGCAGCCATCGTTATCTCGGTCTATCTTCGCTTCCCACTGTCCTTTCTCCTGTCAGTCGATCTGCCTATCTCCGCTTGTTTTCCCGTCTCTTCAGATCAAGGTGTTTCCTTTTCTTAATATAAGGTAACTTTCACTCACTTCTTCCAATTCATGAATCTTCGCGAGAAGTTCTCCACGGTTCATGTCCGCATATTCAGCTGAAAATAGGAAAGAAAATTCAATTTTATAGATAATAGAGAAATAGACAGAGACGCATTCTTGAAGTTGTTTTAAGGGGCTGATAACAAGTCAGGATGGTATTTTACGGAGTTGTTTTAGGAGGGAAACACGGAGAACAGGAGAAAAATCCCCCGACGAGGACGAAGACGAAACCCAAACTCAGCTCAGTTGAATCGAGTGCGAGGCCAGGTCTTAAATTCATACCCAGGCCACACTTATGGGAGGTAAGCTCTTTAATACCACGGACTTAAAAAAACGTAGCACAATGAGAATAATTTGCGAAGATGATCATTTGGACTGTGACAAATTATTGTCATTGATTTCCTTTAGGTTGTATCATAAAATTGCCATCACAACTTAATATTTTAAAATGAGGTGTACCTCTAAGAGTAGTCTTTTTGTCTGAACTCGACGCATTTTCAATCGCTGTCAACAGATCTTTCTTAAGAGCGCGATTATCAGCTTTAAGGTGTTCGTTTTCCTCTGAAAAGCAAAAAAAGGGCCTTAGTTAGAAATGGTCCTGTCCTACACCAGGACTATCGCTAATAGCTCGTTAGAGTATGCGTTTCAGCATATTCAGTTTTCACTCACAAGTTATTCTAAATCTTGTGAACTAAAGTAACAGTAAAAGCAATTTTTGTTCGATCAAACCTGCTAGCCTTTGAAGAGAAACGTTCGAGGGCTTGGATCCTCTGGTTCCTTTTGAAAGAGAACTATTCCTTGGACTGCGAGAAAGACATAAAAACATTTAAATACCATCAGAAAACAAACGAAGATAAACATTACAACAATTTGGGAGGAGGATGGGGGGTAGGTTGCGTGGGTGGTTGGCTGTTCTACCGAGATTGTGTGGGTAGAAAAGCCGCGAGAGGAGTGGGAAGGAAACTATCGTAGCTCCGCTACTCGTTATGTATCTCAGCTGCCTTTAGTTTCACCGTGCACCCAGCGACTAAAGAAATACCTTGAAGAGAGTTCATGCTCGGAAGTGGCATATGAAATATTTCATTCATCTTGAGATTTTCCTTTCCCACAATCATGATGAGAAGTAGAAAAACTCTGTGGTTGATATACCAAGAAAAGCGACAGAAAAAACTACATGAATGTTTCCCTCAACTACCTCGTCATTCCGAAAGAACCGTTCAACTGAGATTGCTGCATTTCTATTAGAGCCAATTGTAATCTTTGAACCTGTGGAAATACAACAGAAACACGAGTTGAAATCGTTTCAGACTAAAAATAGGTTCCATGTTGCCGTGTGTCTGTTTAGCAATAGATCATAGATGACATCAAAATGGGTTAAGAACAAAAAAGAGTCGCAAAAGGCGCCGTAGAGTGTCACTAATGTTATTACCACATTTTGATATCTTCTGTGATCTATTGCTAAACAGAATCACGGCAACGTGGAATTTATTTGTGTAATATGATAACAGAGTAAAATTTCGTTAATGGTGACGTTTGTCCTTCAATAGATTACAAGAATCAATTAAAATGCGTGTACAATTCAGCTTATTGTGTAAAATAACATTAAAGGAATCACGACCAGCAGAAAGATTCTGTTTCCTAACTGAGGACTCAGACTGTCATTAAACAACACCATCACAATTTACCTCTTGGTAATATGTTTCACTCTGAATTTGCAGCTCCTCAATATTTGTCATTTTTATATCCTTTTTTAGCTGACTGGAATAGAAATAAAAATTAAAATTAAAAACACAAAATAACAAAAACAACAATAACAACAACGCAGATAGAAAATTTGTTGTGATTGCTACATATGAGTTCTGCACCCTCTACGAGGGGAAAGGAAATTAACTTTCAGTGATCAAAATTTAAATTCTTTTTACTGTCCTCTACATATTTCAAATAATTTTCATGCTAAGAATTTGACGTCAGATCAAACAATAATTTCTAATGGTTTTTTTCCTTCTTCTAACTACTTTTCTTTGTGGTAACCTGTGGGAGAAAAAGTGTTAACTCTGAGGAGCCCGAATGGTCTCTCTTGGGAACATTTAGCAGCCATCAGCACCAATTTAGTGTTAGAATTTAACCTTAATTCTGCTTCTTTGTCCTTGACTGTTCTTTCTACTGCATGGAGCTTCTGTTTTAAACTATTCACAATCTGAAAATAAGAAGTACATCTGGTCTAAATCTTGGTAATACATGTCATATACTTTGATCAGATTGACAAAGTAAGGCAGGGTCAGAGCACCAAGTAGCAGCTGACTCTAAAATTAAAAAAAAGCAAGCCTTAGGATTATTTTATCCTTTTGAATCAGTCCCCCCCCTTGCAGAAAATGGGAAATTTGGTAGCTACCTAATAATAATAATAGTAACAATAATTTATTTACATAGCATTATTTCTATCGCTATACAATAGTGCTTTATGTCAATGACTGAAATAAACATAAAATGCTGGAAAATCCAATTGTCTAGAGGCAGACCAGTTGGCTATTTACACAGCGCAGCCAAGGAGTTTAACTCAGGGCAACCAAGGACAAATCTAGTGAATGGCAGGATGTAGGACTTGAACCCGGGACCACCAGATCACAAGTTCAGCACCCTAACCACTGGGCCACACTATCTCCTACTTGTCCTTAGGATGCAATTCAAACTGTGTTGTTGTGTTGTGTTCTTGGGCAGGAAACATGACTCTGTAACAAAAACTACAACACAGAATGCTGAAAGGTAGTGCACTAGCATCCCAACCAACAAGTTTAGAAATAATTATGCTGCTTGTTGCTTCCAAAAACCAAGATGAGCTCTGTCAGTGCAGGCCACTTGGGCTGAGGGCAGTCTTTTCCTCTACTGCTAGCAAATTGTCAGGGAAACTTGAAATATTTTGGGTGGGTGGGCAAGGGAATGACAATCTATCAAAAGAGAAGAATTAAAACTCTGTAATTGTATGAAGTTAAAAACTGGAAAAACCTCTGGCAACAACAAACAATTTGGCATGTTAACCTGTGTGAATTCCATTTTGGGTTCCCTCCCTCTTAAATATCAAATGCAACCTCAAAATTTTTGTACATATTTTAATCATGCTTGTAAACACAACTGCACATGAACAGTGTATTTGCAAACTTTTACAAATGAAATCCTAATAAATTTAGGGTTTGTTATTGTCCTGCACAAGCATTTGACCACTTACAGCACTGGTGTCTCCTTTTTTGTCTGTCAATGTTCTTCTGACATCTTCAGGCTAAAGTACAAATAAAATCAAAACCCCATCTATTATTACTGTATTACTGCAATCATTATTTGTCAAGGTTCATATATATTGTTTTCATTACCTGCTGAATTTAATTCATTTATACTTAAAACAATTATAACAATAAGAAAATTAAATCATTATATTTTAACTTTCGAGATCAAAGTGTTGACCATGTTGGCTCAATTTTGCATTAAGATATTAATTTTCACACACAATCTTGTCATATACCTGCTTTCTTGTATTCAAGAGGTCTTCCATTTTTCTGTCCTGTAAATAAAGGACAAAAATCTCCACAGTTATTATAACTAATAAAATAAAATTGGCTTAATTTCATATCCTTATTTTTAATTTAATAAAAAGTTATACATATCCAGGAACCAGAATAGAAAAAGAGAAAATTTAACAACAAAATAACCTTTTCAAGAATTTTTTATCAAATTTTTCCAAAGCAAACCATTTTGCTGACTGTAAATGACAAGTGATGGAGTTGGGCTAATGAAGTTCTTTGACCCCTTAGAGTAAAGCATCTGAGTTTGCCTTACAATATCACCCTAGAATCAAAAATTAAGGTCATGAAAATAAAGGAAATGATTACCAACTAACATGGCTCTTGATTGCTAAACAAATTCTCCACATCAGCACCATAGGAAATGTATAAAGAACAGTATGGAGAACTTCCATACTGGTGTTAGGGTGTAAAGAACTCAAGGATTACTAACAGTAGAAGTGTACACTGCTGCTGATTCAGATACATGATAATAAATATACTCTGAACTCACCTTCAAGACATTCTCTCCTTCCACTCTGCGGAGTTTTGTGTTTAGAATATTGTTTTCTGCTTTTAAGGCATTTATGATCTGAAGGATTTCATAAAACCAATTGGTTTTAAATGAGAAAGACTAAACAGCTGCCACTAAAAAGAAAAACAACTGTTTTTTCTCCTTAATAAACAGCTTGATGATAAAGAGCATAATTAAATCAATTGTGGCATCAAATTTCTCATTGGCAGGCAGTCAGTTGACACCAACAAGAGAGTATACATAAGAAAGAAATCACCTAGTAATAAAAATATTTTGTCAGTTCTAGAGTTTTAAAAAGGAGATTTTCACAAAGAATGTCCAACACACTGTAGCACAGAGAAAATTTCTGGATGGGTTTAAGTGCATGACCTGTTGCAAACAACAGAGTTTTGATTTTGTAAATAAAGAATGATCAGAGTGAAGAGAGGCAATGCAAAATAACTGTGATGGCAAACATGTTGCTTGTGTGTTGAAATCTTAGCTTCCTGCTGCTTACCTTTTTTAACTCTATGATCTCATCATAGTAGTCTTCCTGTGGTTTATATGCAGGACCACCAATAGACAACTGTGGTTCACCTTAAAATGAAAAGGTTAGATTTCTTTATGATTCTCTTGGTCAGTAAAGGCTTGTTTATCGCAAAAAAAAAATGAAATAAAAAGAATATCCATATTGTAACAAATTTACATGGATGGAGTAAAACTTACTTGCAGACAAACTTGCACTTCTGATATGATTCGTATTTTTTAGATCTTCAATCTAGAAAAAGTTAGAGATGAACTTTAATTATTTAATATCAATGACAATTAGTTTACCAATAGCTTTAGGTCCATTAGTGCTGAGAGAGGTTGTTACTAATTAATATGTTACAAAACTGGCTCAGATTGGAAAGGGATTTACATACATGGCCACCTGGTACATTTTTCTCTAAAACACACTTACAGAAAAATATATCTGGTATTTGAACTCCCTTTTCAACCTAATTTAGTTGTGTGCACAAACAAACACTACTCAGTCAGTCAACTTCATTTGGTTTGCAGTCATTGATTCTTGGTGACAAACAAGTATCACCATTACACTCACAATTGCTGCCCTCAGATTGATGTTACTATTTAAAGAATGTTTTCATTAGTACTTTAATAGCTGCTTGTAATTAGTAATTAGTCCAGATTATACCCAAGAAATTCTATTCTTGCCATTATTACTCCGCTTCCAGCCACTTTAAATTTAGGGAAGAACTTACCTGAACATAATCACTCAAATGCCTTGATCTAGAGCCAGTTTTATTCTGTTTATTTTGTGAAGCTCTTGAACCTCCCCAAGTCTTTATGGGAGAATTTTCTGTACTCAGGGCTAAAAAGATAAAAAGTCAAGAGGGTGTTTAATCTTAACCCTAGATTTTCTTTGCTTTGAACTGATTTAGACCAATCATATAACAAAAACTTTTAAGAAAACAAGGCTTAGTTTGGCAAGTTATTGCAGACTACCAAAATATATAGTTTTTACATTAACTTGTATAAAATTCTGCAAGGTGCGTCTGGAACAGGAAGAATATAACCTAGTAGACAATACATCACTCACTAGCAGTTCCATTTCTCATTGCAGTGATCCACATGTTTCTTGCAGTGGGTTTGGAAGGCTGCTGTTTTGATGAGCTTTTCAGTTGTAAACTTGAATATGGTGACTTTCCTGGAAGGACAGAATTACACATCAAGTCTTATCCCTCTTTGTGTCAAACAAAATAGGGTTGTTTTAAAGGGATGGACCATAATTTTGATGCCCACTATGAACTATCAAGAAGTAAACAAAGAAAAACACCATGCACCATCCTTGCTGATTTAATCCCTTCATTCCCAATATTTCATTTAGTAATTCTTCTTTATGTTTGCCATACAACTCTCATGACATTGGTTCAGAGAATTTGGTACTCCATCAACTGCTGATCCCTTTATTGATATTTTATTGATATTTTTCTTTATTGTCATCACTTGTCTGTTTGATATTGTATTTGATATATAATAATTATTGTAAGGAGAAATTCTTTCTTGGTCACTCATGAGAGTTGAAGGGTTCAATAACACAAATATTGAGCTTTTGGAGAGGACTATCCATGCATGGCAAAGTAAAGAACAAAGGAACATACAGTAAAAAAATTATTTCCATAAAGAGCCTAAAAAAGTTGGCCAACTTTTCTAAGATTTGGATGGATTGTTACAAATGCACAGGTGTATCACTTGTGACACTACTCAAATTTAAATGATCAAGGGCAAAATGTGAGAAGATGAAATAAAAAACATTAACTGTGGTAACATTGATAAACATCACCATTCAATTTTCAGAAGAATCTGCCAATCTCAAAAATGTAACAGAAAACAGAGTAGGTTGACTTAACTCTCTCATCTAATTGTTTCAAAGTCATTAGTGTATACAAATGCATCAAGATGTCACAAATGAAAGAACGCCTCACCAACTTTTGATCTTCTGCCTTGAACTGACTTTGACCTCTTAGAGCTCCCTGGGTGTATAACATAGACATGATTGAGCCATTTCACCTTAACATCAGTATGACTATTCTTCCTACTTCTCTCTATAAATTTCCTAAGGTGCTGACAAGGAGAATTTGTTTAATAACCAAAAGCTTCTTTAGTTTGTGATCATTTCTTTTATTCTTGTGACCTTAATGTGTGAATCAGGGCTGACATTGTAAGGAGAAATTAGATGCCAGTCACTCTTAGGGGTTATAGGGTTAAACAAAAGGAAAGTACTTAAAAGTAATGAAGTGAATATTCCCAGCTGGGCCACTGATATTCCAATTTTATTGCAGACAGAAAGTTTGAGCATGATTAGTACTAAGTACTCTATATTATCTCACCTGATGGAGGTCTGGGCATGTGTCCACTTCCACCAGATGCCGCACTGCCCTAAATAGCAGAAATTCAAGCAAATAACAACTTTTAGAAAACTGTGAAAGTATTGATCTGATCTGGAGACTTCTATCATGTATTGACTAATCAAAAGGAATTTCAGCACACATGGGCAAACTTTACAACCGTTTCATTTTTTTAGACTTACAAAAAGGTTCCAGAGCTATTTTGTTGGACTACAGGTGTACATATAGTTTCATAGTACTTTAACTCATTTTTTTTAAATATTAAGATCATAAAAGAGGTATAAAATAACACAAAGTTTACACATCTATTTACCCTAACTTTATCCACATTAGACTGCACATCCTTAACATATTACATTCTTGCCACTAAATTTGTCCTCCAGGTATCACAAACCAAATTGGTATGAACAATCCCAGCTTAAAGTGAGCGCTTTGGAACAATTTGTTGCATTTGAGCAGTAGTCATTGCTTCCACACTCAAAAGGTCAATTAACAGCCTCTTGACTTAGAGTGTAGAGATCCCCCTCCCCTTCTCAATCCCAGACAGCCATCCAGGTCTCAGACAAATATGTGATTCTTCCATAACAGTATACTTCAAAACTGGAATCTGTCTTACATGATATTATCATTAAATAGAAACTTCACTGCTTGTATATTATATGATGTAGATTTGAGTTACAGAGTACACTGCCTAATAAACCGCCTGATCCCAAACATTTGCAGTGAAAGATCGAGCTGCATACAACAGATAAAATTCACTGTAATCAAGACCTTTTTGAAGTTTGGAAATATTAACATCATATCTTTAAGAGGCTTACCACTGAGATCGTAGAGCCATTAGACACATCAGAGTATGCGTCCACATCCTGAAATAGTCACATAAAACTTTCAGCACATGATAAATGTTGACTTATCAGGTGTAAACAACTGAATGCTCACCAACAGACAACCATCAAATAATAATTATTTTACGGCATAATGGATTGGAACGACGTTTCACCTACCTCGACTGTAACACCTGGGATTGGCATGGATTTTATCTATCACTCAAAGGAGATCCTCCTTTCCTCACGATCTTAAAATCATTGCTTCAAATCATGAACTCAATCACAATAACCACTAATTTTGGAAGGCAACGAATTCAAATGTCAGTAGTTGTGATCAACGAATCAGTCCTCTTGTTCTCTTATCATTGCAATATTATAAGTATTTCAAAGGGTGTTTAAGGAAGTTTTAAAAGAGTTTTAGGCCAAAGAAAGATGAAAATTCCGTTTGATGTAAGAAAAAAACAGTTGTGTGGTTGCCCTGTAACCATCTCGGAAACAGTGACTACGCCTGCGATAAGGCAAGCTATTGTCAGCAGTTAACTGTGAGAAGAATAGGTACTTCATTTACCGGTAATTTAATGTAACTTATTCTCTAGCATTTCTCATTCGAGACCATCGAGGGCAGGGCTTTTCTATCCTGAAACTCCGCTCTGAGAACAAGAATTTTTGCACGTAAAGAATTTTAAAAAATTAGCCCGATTATAACCGAAATTTAAGAAGATATCCGTCGTCACAGCCACGTGAAAGGTTCCAATAAATCCGCTTCTCCAGACCGCTCTCAGAAATTGTATGTCAGGGTGGATTTTGTCCATCTTTTTACTGCAATTTATACCCAACTCAAGTCACTATAATAGGGGAGGACGTTAAGGATTTTGGGATATGCAAAGATTCTCCTTTATTTTTCTTTTTCTTCCTTTTTTTTATACCCAAGTTGAGACTCTTTTTCATTTTTCTCGGACCCTTTTAATTCGGGCGATAATAAGTAGGCATAGTATCATATTTCCTCTTGCCCAACCCCCACCCCATCAATTTTCCAGCGGTCCACTCCTAATGACTTGTTTACTCAGTGTAACTCGTGCCTCACTGCTTAATTTACTCATGTCAGGTCCACTTCATCGCGTGTAACCGCACGTTCGTCGTCGTTGTTGTTTGTGTCAAGATGGCGGTATTTGATGCAAAATTTGTCCAAAAAAAAAAACATACTCGGGTAGTGCACGCTATAATGAAGCTCGAAAATCATTACAGTCCTCAGCCCTCAACTATGGCTGCAGAGGCTATCTTTGTACCCTCGAATGCTCATAGTCAATACGCGCATCTGATTAGTCAAAAGTTTGATGTCAACGTTACAGTTTACGCGCCAAAAAAGGGAGACTGCTCCGAAAATAAAATTTCGTTCTCAGCGTGTAACTCAATGCACAGTAACTCTAGCTTTTTTCAATTAGGCGCGTTAAAAATTAAGCTAAAAGCCATATCAGTTTCTGCTACCATCCTTCGTTTCATCTTGGAAAACAAAACGATGGCATTCAGGTACAATTATTTGTAGTAAAAACTATCGAGAGGTTGAAAATAGTTGTGTTCACTGGCTAAACTTTTCAGGTAAGACCATACTGCAGCCCAAGAAAACTTAGTTACAACTTTTCTTTTTAATTGTGGGTCTCCAAATTTCAAAAAATTCTCAATAAATTAAAGAAAGAATCAAGGAACATGATAGAGATATCTGATTCGCGAATAACCTCTGCCGGCAGAGCGCGCCCCCCAACACAGAAGTTAACGCCCCCCGTTCATTGATCCCCATCCTCGTAGGCTGAGTAAAAGAGGCCATCCCCAGTGCACCTCACTCAAACAATAAAAACACGAAAAGTGGAATATAAATACTAGAGGCATGGTACCAACGATCAAAGAAACATCAACAAAGCTGGGCGACAACAGACCGCTGAGAAAAGATTTCTTAGAAATGCGTCAATCATTACAGCCTATCACAACAAAGCATAGTGGTTCCAAAGGTAACGTGTATCCAATGGACGTGACCATAGTAAGAGGACTCGCAAAATGAGTAAAGACGTCGCGATCCAAATTGGAAGAGACTAAAAAAGGCTTAAAAAGCGATCGTTCCTCGGTGTGTTTGCGGTCTTTAAGTGTGAGACTCTTAAAGACTCTTAAAGGCTCCTGGTGAGACACAAAAACTCCACATGCAGAAAGACCCACAGAAAAGCTTTCCTGTTACATAGATAAATTCTTCAGCCGATCGAACAACAACAGAGGAGAAAAGGAGGTTTCGTTAAAGGCGAAGCGTTACAACTCTCCAGGAGTACTTCTCCTAAACAAAAATTTGAAGGGAAAATTAGACAGTTCAAAACATACCTGGCTAAGAGAAACTACCCGAAAAGCATAATTGACAACCGACTCTCAAAAGTGAAAATTGAGAGACGTAAACGGGCCCTCCTTCCACAGGGAAAAACAAATAATCAAATCTTACCCTTTGTAGTAACACAATACTATCGAACCGTTCCAAACCTTAAATAAATTCTTATGAGGAAGTGGCATTTAGTACAGCAACAACCATTGCTGAAAGAAATCTTTAAAGGACCGCCGATGCTATCATACAGAAAGAGGCGTTCACTCAGACATACTCATGGTAGCAAAATTATAACTGACGAAGGTGAGAAAACAGGAGATACTGTGGAGTCGTGTAAACACTTGTAACTAATACAGAGAAAACAGGACGTACTTCTGAGCCATTTAGGCCTGTCAATCCCAATTTACACGGGTGCATCAATTAAGCCCATTTCTAAAGCAAATTGATACTTTTTAATTCTCGGGTGACTCGTAACTTGAGCTGAATTATGATCACGCCTATACACGTCCTATCCCCTATTTCGCTTTCAAAACAGAGTACATCCTGGCCCTTCCTATTTTCATCTCGCGTCTCACCTTTAACTGAAAACTGGTGTGAACGTGTTATTAGTTAATTAGTTAGTGTTCATTAGTTAAACACTTGTAACTAATACAGAGAAAACAGGACGTACTTCTGAGCCATTTAGGCCTGTCAATCCCAATTTACACGGGTGCATCAATTAAGCCCATTTCTAAAGCAAATTGATACTTTTTAATTTCTCGGGTGACTCGTAACTTGAGCTGAATTATGATCACGCCTATACACGTCCTATCCCCTATTTCGCTTTCAAAACAGAGTACATCCCGGCCCTTCCTATTTTCATCTCGCGTCTCACCTTTAAAATTTTTCATATCCCACAGCCCGCCTCGGGTTTAAGCTTCATCCCGCATCCTGCCAAACCCACGTTGGACCCTTCGGTAAAGTCCATTACATCCAATCAGTTCACCGAAAGGAACTCTGTAGTGATAGAGAGGAGATTGGGAATCACGAGACCCTGCATGCCTGTCATACAGTTGTGCCTATGGGGTCTTGCGAAAAAAAGAACGAATGAAAGCCTAGAACACAGCATCGAACACAATTCCGCTGAGAGCCTTTCCACACGTTCACACAAGTTTTCAGTCTTCGAATCCGTACCTATGTTAAAATTATGAAAAATTACTGACAAGAAAAAGAAAACTTTTTTGTAGCTGATAGCGCTACATTTGGAGTTGAACAAGAGTTGCAATTTGACTTCCCAAGAAATTAAAAGTTTCCTGTTTATTCTTGGACATTTTGAAGAAGATATCTCAAGAGCACTTATCTTCCAAAGTAAGTAAGTAAGTAAAAAAAAAAAATGATCTGCTACAGTCATTTATAAAGAGCTTCATAAGTTTTGCGTAATTTTTATTTTCATGGCATGATCAAAGGGCCAAAGTTGATGTTAGTACATAACTATTTTACTAACAGAAATGATTTCTCACTCGATATTGATCTCACCTATCGGAAATAAAGTTCATAACTTAGCTCTGATGCAAAATATCTTCTGGTAATTTGTGTAGAGATACAATAGTCCTAATAATGAACTTTGACAAGGGATTATAAACAGTTTATGATAGTCTCTTGACCCTAGATATTGATATCAGATTGGCGACAGCTGTAGGCGCAAGAATTTGTATTATCATTTTTTGTTGTTCTTGATGTTTCATAGTTTCGTTTTAAGTGTTTATTTTCTCGTCTTCATTAATATTTTTTGTCAGTTACCAGTTTTTTACTTGTTATATTTTATTTGCATATCGTATATATATTGTTCGCGTGTGATTTATTTGGTTGGTTGTTTAGTTTGCGAAAAATATCGTTACATATTTAGCTTTGGGTTTCATTTTTTCGTCTTTGGTTTGGTCACATTCGTCTTGTAGGTGTCCTTGTTTATTTCGCTTTGTCGTTTTCCAGTACTTTCACTCATACGTTGTAAGTTATTTTATGCTTATTCGCGTGTTTGTAATTTTGTTATTTTCAGTTACCGTGTCAAGTTTGTTCTGGTAAAGTTTGAAATACGAATGATTAGCGTTTGCGGCTATAACAGCCAACGGAACTACTACGATTAAGTTGGCAAAACCATCTCTCATTCAGCAAGCACAAATAAAAAAAACTGTAAAACAAATTTATATAGTATGCAATATGAAGTCAAGGAATATTTCTGACTTCAGGCAGAAAATAACATAAAATGTTTCCTCTTTACTACTGCACTCTTGCTTCTTGACCCGTGACGGAGAAATTAACTCCTCAAATATTAGGGGAGTTTTTTTTTTTTTTTTTTTTTTTTTTTTTCAGTCCCTCGACAATAGCACTCTAAGCGAAGGGGGACTAAAACCCATGACAGCTATTGAAACGTTTTTCCCTGTCCCTGTCTTCACAGCGGTTTCTGTTTAGGTTGTCACGCAATGGGGGAGCGCTGCGTGACATTCAAAAAACAAAAATGACAACAACAACAACAACAAAAGCAACAGCAAAAAGGGTGCATTCTTCAACAAAACTTGAACAGCGTACGTTGTATATAATTAGTCATCGCAAGGAAAACCACCATTCACAAATGAGCATACTGACGCTCAATACAAGATAAATGTTCCCAAGTCTTTCTTATGCATTCTGCTGTGATACATATCGTTCAAAATCTGCCTAGGATAAGCAGACACTTACTATTCAGCCATAATCTCTTGGTAACCACCGCCGGCGTCTTAAAGATTGTGGGTCAAAGGAAAACAGTCAAAAAGGCAACCACGAGAAGCAGAAGAGGGCTGTAACCCACGTCATGGCCTACATTGCACAGGTCACTGCGACAACATGACCAATCACACTTTACATCCGTAAAGTTCATTCGAAGACGGTCACACGAGGTCTTCAAACTTCCACAAGTGGAGGTACTCGCACAGGATCTTTTTTCTACGTCAATCGTCGCACCGTTAAAAATCCCACTAACATGTGTCCGCATACAAGAATCCATTCCCTTGGGACAGGTCCGCTTAATTTGGTGGTGGATGCACTGTTTAGTGTTAAATGAACTACAATTGGCGGTCATCTCGGGAACACATTGATAACATGCAATCGAAAAAACTGCAAATAAAT